CCCCCGTATCCACTCCTCCAGTAGCCCCACTGGATCATGTAAAATACCCCTCCTCATCCCCTCTCCTAACACCTCCCTCTACACACCTGCCCTGCCTCTCTCCTCTGGTGCTGGTCCCTCCCCTGAAGATGTATGCCCTTCTGTCACCCCCAGAATGCCCTGACACCTACACCTTCCCTTAACCCTGCACCCTCCTGGTGCCTTCCCCTTCCATCACTGCCCCTGCCCCCTTTTTCCCTAATGTCCACCCCCTCACCACCCTCTGATCCCGTTCCCCTCATGCCCCTGTGCCCTCACACATGACTTGCTCTATCCCCACCTTCCTCATACCCACTCCTTCTTTCAAGCCTTCTCCCAGCACCTCTCCCTCCCTCCTCTAGCCCCCAATGCCCTTACCCTCTCCTCTCCCAGCATCACCCTGTCTCCCCTCCACTGACACCTCCCCTCCTGCCCTTTTCCTCATTGTCTGCACTTGGTCCCCTGGCATTTGTCTCTCCTGTACCCTGTCCCTTGGTGCCTTCCCCTTTCTTCTCCTGCCCTACCCTCCTCCCTACAGCACAAGCCCCTTCCTTCCTATTTTCCTCCTTCCCCTCCCCAACCTTCTGCCTTCCAGTTTATGGGGCTAGAATCTGTGGAGGTGCTCCAGCTGCTGGCCCAGGGCCAGGCGGAATGTCTCCAAGAGACACGTGAGACCATAGTAACCACAGAGCCCCAATACTCTGAGCAGGACCCGCACACGGAGGCGCTGGAAGCCACATTTATCCTCCAGGTTCAACATCCCACCTGCCCGGGAAATGTAACTCCCCAGAGCAAGCTGTGTGGAGCCGAACTGGTGATTCCTGGTTGAGTCTGATGCCTTGGGGTGGAGGAGAAGCCCTGTCTCATCCCCTGAGTGTGTTGTGGAGCTGCAACCGGACTCACTCGCGCTTTGCCAGGACCATGCACGGGACTGACTGTGTCCCAGGATCAGCATGTGACGGGGTCAGTCCCGCTCCCCGCTGGCCGATTTGCTCCCCCCTCCCCGCTTTCTCCGACCCTTCACAACCAGCGTTGCTGACCCCGACACCCTCCCAGCCACCTCTGCTTCCCGCCACCCAGTTCTCCTCCTCCCCCT